CGCTCACCTTCCCTACTGTCTGAGACTCTAATTCTGCAGATACTTGCATGACTTTCAGAATGTATCTGTGAACAAGTGCCCCTAGTACTGAAACTGTGTTTCCCTTTATCAATCCCCGCTTCATTTTTCTTTATAACATTCATCTTCACTTGATGAATTTACAAGTTTACAAGTTTGTATTTATTTCCTTGTAAGGACTGGAACTTTGTCTTTTTTGTTTACCAATATGGTCCCAGGACCTAGAATGCATAAGACACATACTGGGTGCTCAGTGTATATCTGTGCAATTAATAATTGTGTGGTATATACATGCCTGTGTGAGTGCAGATACACACACACACACACGCACACACACACGCACACACACACTCCTACCTGTTCACTCCTGCAGTGAATTTTAGTACCTTTATTTCAATGGTTAGTTCCACATATATTAACAAAAAACAGACTTTTAGAGTTAAGACCTCAGGTATTTTAGATGATTATCATCTCAAATGGTACAAAGAAACTGTAACACACTCTTTTGCTTGTATTTCTTGCTTTGGTATCAATCTGTATGTACAATAAGGTTCATTTTGACACATTGGAGACATTACTATGCTTCTTAGGCTCAGTAGAGGAAATAACCTGGTTATTAAATAACCAGCTCTGAGAACTCATGTTTCACATTTCAGCAAATGTACCTGCTACAGCAACTGTGCGCTCCCCAAATGCAAAAGCAGAACTTACTTGATAGACATAGGCTACAACTGATTTCGTATGCAAACCCTTATTATAGTGATTGCTATCATTTCCATGGAGACAGAGTGGTCTCTACCACTGCTAGAATTCTTGAATCACTTAAAAAAATCAAAAAGACTTTAACCAGAGATATCACTCAAGGTAGTCTCTGGAACTGATTATGATTAGATAATAACTTCATGTTTTTAAAACGTAAATACAGAAACACAGAAATTTTACCCTAACTTTGGGATAAAACTAGTTTGATAAACATATCTGCTTTTATTATTATGGTTGACTTATGTTTATTACTGCTTTCACTTCACTATTTTTATTCTAACTCATCCCCCCCCCCAAAAAAAAAGTAGAGGAGAAAAGAAGAAAAGGAGAAAAATATTTAAAGTGGCACATAGATTTTTGTTCTGACTCCTCATTCTCATACCATGTTAGATAGTCCCTCTGCTCTCATCTGTTTGTTAAACCAGAGAACAGGGGCATCTTATAAAACACTATTCAATGTGCAAAACAACAAAGGAATCTAAGTTTTAAGTGTCTCAAATATATCTTTACAGGAAAACACAGTACAAATTTTGTCAGCCGATATGACCCCCGATTTAATAGCTGGATACAACTTCCACCCATGCAAGAACGGTAAGTGTTTATCTCTTGTGTCTGAAACATTTGTGGCTACTTTACCTGAAGGAAGGATACTGAATGATTTCCCATGATAAGGTATGCTAAACAAAGCCAATGAATGACCCTGGAGGCAAAATACAAAACCTGGCCTGGCCAACTTTGATTAACTGCCTCATTAACTCGATGGAGAAAAATAATAGGTCAAGTATTTGTTTCAATGTAGGAAGAAAGCATTTATATAACTTGTCTTCCTTGGTTTTTTTTCACATTAAAGTTTACTTTTTTATTGAAGTATAGTTGTTGTGTAATATTATATAAGTGTACAATATAAAATGTCACAATTTTTAAAGGTTACACTCCATTTGTAGTTTTAAAATATTGGCTATGTTCCCTGTGTTGTATAATAGATCTTTGTAACTTATTTTATACTTAATAATTTGTAATTCTTAATACTCTATCCCTATTTTGCCCCTCCCCACTTCCCTCTGCCAATTGGTAACCGCTAGTGTGTTCTCTATATCTGTGAGTCTGCTGCTTTTTTGTTATATTTACTAGTCTGTTGCATTTTTTGGATTCCACACATATGTGATATCATATGGTATTTATCTTTGTCTGACTTATTCTACTTAGTATAATGCCCATCCATGGCTTGTCTTCCTTTTCCATGTTGTACTAGTTTTTTTGACAAGCTGAGCTACAATCTCATGGCTATTCCACTCTTCTCAGTTGTAATTTATTCAAATCTTATCACTGAAATATAGAACACCATTCTCACAATGTATGTATTTAGATGCAGGTATTTCACTATTAAAGTTTCCAAGTCTCACTACCTCAAATTCCTTATGTTTACTTCCTCAAGCATCTCCCTATCAGATGTTTAAAAATAGGTGATTTGCTATCTAATAAAAAGTCATTTTTCCAAGGTGTCCTCTGATTTGTAATGTACGTAGTGTTTATCGCACCAAAGTTTTCTAACATCAAAGGACAATAAGGCAACTGTGTTTTTACACATTCAGTTCTCCTGACTATTACTTAGGCAGGAGGCCATGTCTTAATATATCCATGCAAATTCACATACTAAATCTTGAACACTTGGTTCTTCTCAAATAATATCTCAACATCCTCATGAGCAAATTCTCTGATATAATAGTAACAATAAGCTGCAACCTATTTTCTCTTCTCAATTGAACTAAGAAATAATTTTTGTTCTTATTCCTTCATGACCTTAACATCTCCTTTTATAAACATTCAATCAGATTTCACTGCTGTTCTGTCACTAAGTCACGTTCAACTCTTTGCAACCCTGTGGACTGGAGCACACCTGGTTCTTCTGTCTTTCACTATCTCCACTATCTTTGAATTTTCTCAAATTCATGCCCACTGAGTCGATGATGCTGTCTAACCATCTCATCCTCTGCCACCCGCTTCTCCTTTTGCCTTCAGTCTTTCCTAGAATCAGAGTCTTTTTCAGTGAGTCAGCTGTTTGCATCAGGTGGACAAAGTATTGGAGTTTCAGCTTCAGCATCAGTGCTTCCAATGAAATCAGGACTGATTCCCTTTAGGATGGACTGGCTTGATCTCCTTGCAGTCCAAGGGACTCTCAGGAGTCTTCTCCAGCACCACAGATTACACTGAGATCATGAGCTACAATCTCATGGCTATTCCACTCTTCTCAGTTGTAATTTATTCAAATCTTATCACTGAAATATAGAACACCATTCTCACAATGTATGTATTTAGATGCAGGTATTTCACTATTAAAGTTTCCAAGTCTCACTACCTCAAATTCCTTATGTTTACTTCCTCAAGCATCTCCCTATCAGATGTTTAAAAATAGGTGATTTGCTATCTAATAAAAAGTCATTTTTCCAAGGTGTCCTCTGATTTGTAATGTACGTAGTGTTTATCGCACCAAAGTTTTCTAACATCAAAGGACAATAAGGCAACTGTGTTTTTACACATTCAGTTCTCCTGACTATTACTTAGGCAGGAGGCCATGTCTTAATATATCCATGCAAATTCACATACTAAATCTTGAACACTTGGTTCTTCTCAAATAATATCTCAACATCCTCATGAGCAAATTCTCTGATATAATAGTAACAATAAGCTGCAACCTATTTTCTCTTCTCAATTGAACTAAGAAATAATTTTTGTTCTTATTCCTTCATGACCTTAACATCTCCTTTTATAAACATTCAATCAGATTTCACTGCTGTTCTGTCACTAAGTCACGTTCAACTCTTTGCAACCCTGTGGACTGGAGCACACCTGGTTCTTCTGTCTTTCACTATCTCCACTATCTTTGAATTTTCTCAAATTCATGCCCACTGAGTCGATGATGCTGTCTAACCATCTCATCCTCTGCCACCCGCTTCTCCTTTTGCCTTCAGTCTTTCCTAGAATCAGAGTCTTTTTCAGTGAGTCAGCTGTTTGCATCAGGTGGACAAAGTATTGGAGTTTCAGCTTCAGCATCAGTGCTTCCAATGAAATCAGGACTGATTCCCTTTAGGATGGACTGGCTTGATCTCCTTGCAGTCCAAGGGACTCTCAGGAGTCTTCTCCAGCGCCACAGATTACACTGAGATCAAGTTAAGTCCTTAATCATGAATTCCAAGTAAAAAAATTTTCAGATCATGCCATTCACTCAAAAAGGTACGTTACTGCCAAAAGAGAGTAAGAATCTCTGCTATAAACGTAGTATCTAATGTCCCTTTCCATATAAGGATATTGAAACTCTCTTTCAAGGGACTAAATGTTATACACTGAAAATGACATTTTAGTCATTTTCAAGGCACAATATAGTCTAAGGACCACAGAGAGGAATGTCTAATTCGAAGGTACCTCAAGGAATTATTCTGGCTCAGTTAATATCTTGACGAATTTCTCAATCCCCCTGTTGTGTATACGTGTATATATAAAAGCTTCCTCAGGTCTTTCTCCAACATACGTTATTTCTCCCCTTTTGGGGTTATTTTCTGGTTGCTGTTATTGTTAGCTGTATCACTTTACCCTTTGATCCAAACTATTCCAAAAGTTTTATTTAAAAAAAAATTAAATATACATCAAAACATGTTTGAGATGTCAGCATCTCATCACCATGGTCTCCTTTGCTGGGGGCTGTTCACCACAATAATTAACCTTCACGCCTTGGGTTTGGGAGGCATAACTCACGTCGCGGTCAATTATCTCACTGTAGAGCCCCTAAGGATGAGAAGTATTGCTGCAAAACCTAATTAGTAATTTTTTTAAATGTGTATTGTTTACTTGATATTCTATAATGACTTCCTCGGAGGCACTATAGCCTATCAGGGCAGGGTCCTACTTAGACAATTTTTAGCAGCTCATTGACCTGATGAAAAGACCTGCCATGGTCTGTCGGCGCCCGGCAGCCACCGTTGACAGGATGGACTGTTTAACGTTTCTTTCCAAGTCATTATGGTATATCATGTCAGGTCCCTAGCAAAAGAAGTTTTTTTTTAGATTTCGAACAATCAACTCGATAGACCAAATAAAGAGCTCCTTCCAGAGCTGAATGGGAAAAGGCAGATCTCACAAATGCCCAGTCAATCTTCTAGCATCATATCTCCTATGGGTTGGTTGACCTGGGCAGCAATCCATAACTTAAAATGAAATTCTTCTGTCATTGCCAAGCTTCCCATTCACCCGAGCAAGTACAGTTAGCTACCAGTGTGGTTTAATTGGTGATTAAACAAAGAAGGAAAATATATATATATATATGAGATACTCTTCAGATTAGAAAAGAGATTTCTTGCGATATTTAATTGAGTTAGCTCTGCATGGTATAGATCATGAATCAGACTCACCAGACGTTCCCCACTGTCCTCCTTCCCTTGTGCTCATGTGCTTGGTCCTTTTAGTCATGTCCGGCTCTTTGTGGCCCCATGGATTGTAGCCCGCCAGGCTCCTCTGTCCATGAGATTTTCCTGGCAAGAATACTGAAGTGCGCTGCCAAGCTCTCCAGGAAATCTTCCCGACCCAGGGGTTGAACCTGTGAGCTGATCCTGCATCTCCTACCTTGCAGGCAGGTTCTTTACTGCTGAGCCGCCTGGGAATCCCCTTCATCCCCTCAGCTGCTGCCAAACTGCTGAGAAGTTATTACTATGCTGAGAAGTTACCAAACCGATTAAGAATAATAGAAACACATTGAAAGTCACCCCTAGGGTCACCCACTCTTACAGAGCTGGCTGGGCAAATTCCTTGGATATCTTGCCTAATCAGAGCTTCCGAATGAGTATAATGCAAGTGCAGAACACCCTCCCAGTTCTTCAAGGAAATGGGCACATGATCTCCAGGCTTACTCAGCCATAGGTCAACTCATGAATTGTATGTTTGCTGCCTATGAGGTTGCTGACAGAAGGGGTTAGACAGAAGTACAAAGATGAATGTAAAGCTCAAGGGTTGTTTTGGTCTCAGATTTAGGATTTGATTCTTCAGTAAGAAGAGGGCAAAAATGAACGATTGGATCAATAAAAATGCTTTGATGAATTCAATTTTGTTTTCAAAAAAAGTAGACATTTTAGGTGTTATTCTTGTGGAAATATTACCTGCCAGCTAGTCTAGGAAACAAAAAAGAAAAAGAAAAAAGAGAGGGTGGGGAGGGAAGGAAGGATAGAGGGAGGGAGGGAGGAAAACCACTTGGGAAGCACCAGTAACAAAACTTAAGTTTCACAGAGTAAGTGAAAAGCAAGAAACATGTACACCAAAGAAGTTCTCAAATTTAAATATTTTGTTTCTAGCAGCCTTACAAGAAACAATGAGAAGCAATATTCTGCTTGGCAAAATCTGTTATTTTTAACCTGATGGTAAAAGTCAAAAGTTGAAACAGAGATAGTGAAAGTGTTAGTGGCTCAGTCATGTGGGACTCTTGAGAACCCATGGACTAAAGCCTGCCAGGCTCCTCTGTCCATGGGATTCTCAGATAAAAATACTGGAGCGGGTTGCCAGAGCCTCCTCCAGGGGACCTTCCCGACTGAGGGATGAAACCCACATCTCCTGCAAATGGATTCTTTACCCAGTGAGCCATCAGGGAAGCCTTCTCAGTATGACTCTTGAGGATATGAACTGACCACCTTAAGCTTCAGAAAGGGCTTGGAAAAATCTGTACTATACACAGGTTCCAAGTGTATTTGTAGAGGGCATCGGTAGTCATTTGAAACTTATCTCAATTCATTGCATACCATCTCTGTGGTTGGGACAGGAGTTGGAGGGGTGGAGGAGGGAGAGAAAAACAACTTGAAATACAGATAGTGTCATTCCATTAAAAAATCTTCAATAAGCTTCCTTTTGCCCCCAAATAAAATAGCCTAATCAGGTGTGCTCTTCATGTGGGGAGGAGGGACAGGAAGCATTCCCAGGAGAGACCCGGTATGGTAAAATTTTAGCCTCAAGCAAATGTTCACAGTTGCTGATAGACCATTAACTATCCAGTGCTTCTATGATACTCTTCATGAATTCTCACTTTGGGCATGCAAGGGAGTAAGTCAGAGACTCAGAACCTTCACTATTAAAATTTCTGCATAAAAATGCACTTTTCATCAGGAAGTGAAACCTACTGATTTTTTTCCCCCCATTCAGAACCTAACAGTGACACTGTGTGGATAAAGCTAGGAGTACACATGGAACATCACATTAGGAATGTTGGGGATAGAAAGACAGTTCTGACAGCTCCCTCGGGTGAAGAGAGGAAGGAAGGAGCAAGATCAGAAAGAGGGAGAAAATTAAACTGTAGACAAGATAAAAGGAGTTCACACTGCCAGAAGATCTTTCTCTGATTCTCCACTACCTAAACTTAATTTAATAGAGAGTTTTGTGCTTGTTATGACTAGCATTTTTTCTCTTCTAGACCAGAATATACTACATATAATACACAGAAGAACTTAGAATATAGTATATTACAACTAACATGGTCCAAATTATGGAATTGGCCCACTAAAGTTGGTTTATTAGTAAAATTAGTAACTTAATTATTTCAGAGGCTCCAAAACTTGTAATAGAATCATATAGAAGAGGGATATTGACCTACCCTGTGTCAATGATGCAAAGAAATATCTGTTACTTTCATACAAATTTTCATAGACATGTCAGTGTTTTCCATGAAATATTTTAACTTGAGAAGGTAAAAGCACTAGTAAAGCAACCTTGACCCATCATATTCAATAAGAGAGCAATTGAAATGTGGCTAGAGAAATGGAAGGAACTAGGGTCTACCTATATGCACTTAATTTTGCTATTGTTTTTCAACCTAATTTTATGTTTAGATGAGTTTTTATGTCCTTATACCAAGAAATTTCAAAATTTTAGGTTTTCAATTCCCTTAATAATCTGATTAAAAATTCTCCTCAAAATCTTTTTCTCCAAACATATGCCTCCAAAAAATGCACATTCACAACACACATATACACATATTTATAATTTATTGGAAAGGGAAATGGCAACCCACTCCAGTGTGGTTGCCTGTGAAATCCCATGGACAGAAGAGACTGGTGGGCTACATATAGTCCATGGGGTCACAAAGAGTCAGACATGACTTACAACTAAACAACAGCATTATATGTGTGTGTGTGCATATTCACTATATGTGTGTGTGTGTGTGTATGTATATATATATATATATATATATATATATATATATAACTTTATTTAAAAGATTTTTTTACAATTTCAGAGCTTCACATACCCCTCAGAAGACATGGGCCCAGGTTAGCAGCAAATTTTATTTAGTGAAATCTGTCTCACCTTTTCGTGCTCCTTCATAACATTCTCTCTTTTTCCATTATCGTTCTCTTCATCATCTTTCTGAGTTTTCTACAGCACATATTTCTGTCAAAACCATCAAGAAAATATAGGGGAAAAAAGAGCCAAAATACTACTCTGAAATAAACAATGATGCTAACAAGTCCAGGACTATCCAGAAACACTGAACTTTATATTCCAGCAATCCCATTTTTGCATATACAGTGTATCCAAAGGAGCCGAAACCAAGATCTTAAAGAGATGTCTGCACTACCGTGGTCATGGCAGCATTACTCACAAATGCCAAGATGTGGAAACAAACTGTTGACAGATAAATAAAGAAAATGTGGTGTATATATAAATATGCAGTTATGTGCTCATTGCTCAGTCATGACCAATTCTTTGAGACCCCATGGACTATAGCCCTCCAAGCTCCTCTGTCCATGGAATTTTCCTGGCAAGAATACCGCAGTGGGTTGCCATTNTTTAGGTACGGATGCATCAACTTGACTAACAACACTCTTCTAATGGATGACTTGATGTAGCCAGGTGAAATCAATCTTAGGTTTCTCCTGTCCTTATGTAAACGAGCAGGTAATCAAGCATGACTAACAATAACCAACTTTCAGTATACAAGATGATACATCACTTTAATTGTATGATTTATCAGAACAACAACTATTAACATACAAAGTACCATTCAGCTCAACTGCAGGTATAGGCAGTGACAAGTATCTAATTCTTCGAAGAATCACTTAACTCCCACAGTCTGTCCAGACATATTAACCTAAGGACACATTTATAAATAGCAAACATGACTTTCACATTGTAGCTTTTTCAAGCATATATACAGGTGTGGAGTCTTGTTGATGAGTTGTTTCCATAAGCTCTATTCTTGATGTATTCATTCTCCTGACATTAGTAGAAACAGTTTTTTTTCTGCAGAGCAGATTTTTTCGTCCTTATCCGTCTTTTTTTTTTAATGACAATGGCTGCTTTTCAAAAAATTTTTATCCAGATAATGTCAACTGACAGTTCATGAGAGTGAACAATATGTTGACACTATGACAAGCACTTTACAATATGTCATATGGCCAGGCAATCTTATTCCAGAGTCCTAACTGTTCATCAAGATGCTATATACTGCTTCCCAGAGGTCTTGACACTTTATAAACACAGCTTGGAAAATCTTCAAACAATATAGGTTTACCTGATTCAAAACCTCTAGGACTCTTTATTTTGCTATTGACTTTGCCCAAGAGTCTGAGCATCAATTTTTATAGAATTTTATAAAGACCATGAATTCATCAAACATAAGTTATGTTCTCTGAGGGGCTTGTGCATGCATGCTGAGTGGTGTCCAACTCTTTGGGAGCCCATGCATAACCTTGCAGGCTCCTCTGTTCATGAGACTTCCCAGGCAAGAATACTGGAGCAGGTTGCCATTTCCTCCCCTAGGAGATCTTCCCGACCCAGAGATCAAACCTGCGTCTCCTGAGTCTCCTGTATTGGTAGGCAGATTCTTTACCACTGAGCCACCTGGGAAACCTCTGAAGGTCTTGGCACCTCACAGTTATTCTTTTCCAGTATTGACCCACATGTTTTTCCTTATGAAGTATTTTATTCCAGTAGCATCAATGAGAAAAAAAGAAGCTAAATTTTAAAGTCTTGCTTAAGATTTCAACCTTGTCATTCTAACTCCAACTTTTTGAGTACTCTTCTAACTTCTTTTCTCCCTCAGCTCTTATTTATTATTAGTTGCTAAACTTTACATCTTCCTTTAATATATCTTGCATCACCACTTTCCATGTCTTCTACTAGAACTCTATATCAGGTCCTCAATCTCTCACTCCTAGATTGTATTCTCCTTCAGAAAGGCCTTCCTGTCTCCAATCCTTTCAATACAACTTGCATGTCTTTTGCCTTTGAAGGAAAGTGGGGTAATTTAATAAATAGTCTTTCTTGAAAAGAGATTTAAAAATATCCTATGGCTTTGTAAGATCACCAAGAGTTACACAGATGAAATTCCTAAGAGCAAACTTTCAACACTATATTCAGTCCGAAAAGTTTCTCCACTTGCAGTCACACTGGGGGAAAAAAGAAAAAAAAAAAAGATAATTGAAGAAAAATTTTGATGATGTAGTTCTCTTATAAATTGGGAACAATGACCCTTGAAGGACCATAAAGAAAGTGAATGTCAAGATAATTTATTATTGTTACATTATCTACCTCATTTTTCACTTTGTCTTACTGAGCTGTGATATCTTTACAAGGTACCAAATATCCTAAACATTAGTGAACACTTGAATAGTGTATAAAAGCAAGATAAAAAGAGCTGAAACAAAGAGTTGTAAATTTCTCCTCTACTGTGATTTTAGTGTCAATAATGTTAACCAGGATGGGCATTATGGATGATTACTTTTCAAGGTCTCTGATTTAGCAAGGAGTCATATGTGTAATGTCCAAAGATCTGTACCCCTTTCTGGGGTTTCCCTGATGGCTCAGCATGTAATGAATCTGCCTGCAATGCAGGAGACACATGAGATGAGGGTTCGATCCCTGAGTCAGAGAGATCCCCTGGAGATCATCATGGCAACCCACTCCAGTATTCTTACCTGGAGAATCCTATGGACAGAGGAGCCTGGTGGGCTACAGTCCAAAGCGTCGCAAAGAGTCGGACGTGACTGAGTGACTGATCCCACAGCACCCCTTCCTGAAGCAGGATGCCCCCGCTTTCCCTGACTGATTGGGCTACTTTGTGATTTACAGAGGGGTGTTTTTTTGTTGTTGTTGTTGTTTTTTCATTGTAGAAGAGCCAGTTTCTACGCATGCCGGTTGGACAAACATTTATATGTGATTGGTGGACGGAATGAAACTGGTTACTTGTCCAGCGTGGAGTGCTATAACCTGGAAACAAATGAATGGCGTTACGTGTCTTCTCTGCCACAGCCTCTGGCAGCTCATGCAGGAGCAGTGCACAATGGGAAAATATATATTTCAGGCAAGTCATTCCTCCACTTTCTGCTACAAAGTTCAGTTCCGAGGCACTTCTTGACTTGTGTGTCTATGTTTAATTCACAGGGGGTGTACACAATGGAGAGTATGTCCCGTGGCTATATTGCTATGACCCCGTCATGGATGTCTGGGCTCGAAAACAAGATATGAACACAAAACGCGCCATCCACACTTTGGCTGTAATGAATGATCGCTTATATGCAATTGGAGGAAATCATTTGAAAGGTCCTCTTTTTTTAAAATCACAATAACATTTGCATCTCATGTTTCTTGCTAAGGGGGTTTCTTGTTAGATAATCATAGTTAACCAAGTATAAAACATGTTGACCAAATAAAATCTACTCTTTGCAAATTAGCAGTACCCTTGGGCAAGCACTTATTTTGGCTCTCCTGCAGATAGGATTATTTTGAAGTTACCACACACATTAAAGAAATGAATAATTATGTCTACAGAAAATAAAAAACAAGAGCATTAATAACTGAAAAGCACAAACAATTGGTTGTAACAATGAATTCAGTAAAATAAATTATCCCTTATCACCAAGTTATAGTAATGGATTTTTTCCAGAAAATTGTTTGTAAACATCATAAAGAACCTTTTTTTTTTAATTTAGAGCTGCACAAAGAAATGAATGTGATTTTTCTTAAAGAAAACAGAATTTCATGTCTAAATTTAGAATTCTTTGAAGAGTTGAATATCAAACCATCTATGATTCTCAAATTCTTTCCATTTGCTTATTTAATAAGTAACATTGTATTCTTAGAACCATATGTGGCTCTTTTCCCTCCTTATTATGTATATGGCAGCAAGTTTTTTGTAGTTTGTGTGCATGCGTGTAGCACTAAATTTTACAGGAAAGCATAGAGAGCTGTGATACTGAGAACATTGTGGAACCACTTTGAGCTTCAGTTTTCTAATCTGTAAATGAAGAAGCTGGTCAAGTTGGTCTCTAAAATCTCCTCCAGCTCTGACCTTCCATGATCCTTGAAACTGAATGAAATGAAATACAGGCCATCTGGGCATGGCACATAAGGCCATTCTATACATTTATTTTCCAATCATATACCCATATATGGGATTTTCTGGTGGCTCAGATGGTAAAGAGTCTGCCTGCAATGCGAGAGACCCGAGTTTGATCCCTGGGCCAGAAAGATCCCCTGGAGATAGGAATGGCAACCCACTCCAGTATTCTTGCCTGGAAAATCCCATGGATGGTGGAGCCTGGTGGGCTACAGTCCAAAGGGTCACAACGAGTTGGACATAACTGAGCAATTTCACCTTTGTTCATGCATTTATTTTCCAATCATATACCCATCTTAAACCACAGGTTAGATATGGATATTTCTTCTGTTATTTTGTAATACATATCTACCCCTAAATGTAATAAGTATTGGATAAGTGTCATTTTCAAGTATTTACAAGTTTATAATAGTTAAAGCACATCATCACAGGTGTTTATATAATCAGACTGTTAAAAAAAAAGTAAAAGATTTTGAGAGAATTGAATATTCACTTAAGAAAAGCAGTTAAGTTTTGTCTGTAAAAGTGAGTCTTTTGAAGCCTATTCGTTTGGTTTCAAATCTCAGCCTAGCTACAGGCTGTGTGACTTATTTAGGTTAAAATTCCATCTGTTCCTCAGTTTCTCATCTATAAAATGAATATAATGTAGAAATATCTATAGGGTGGTTGAGGGAATTAAATGAGTTCCTTCATATAAAACACTTAGAAAAGAACCAGATTATTATAAGCAGTCTATAAAATGCTTGCTTTAGCTATTACTATTCAAAAATTTAGCTATTACTATTTCAAAGCTTTTTCAGTTCAGTTCAGTTCATTTCAGTCACTCGGTTGTGTCTGACTCTTTGCGACCCCATGAACCACAGCACACCCGGCCTCCCTGTCCATCACCAACTCCTGGAGTTCACCCAAACCCACATCCATTGAGTCGGTGATGCTATCCAACCANAGCCTTGATGTACTCCTTTTCCTATTTGGCACCAGTCTGTTTTTCCATGTCCAGTTCTAACTGTTGCTTCCTGACCTGCATACAGGTTTCTCAAGATGCAGGTCAAGTGGTCTGGTATTCCCACCTCTTGAAGAATTTTCCACAGTTTATTGTGATGCACACAGTCAAAGGCTTTGGCATAGTCAATAAAGCAGAAATAGACGTTTTTCTGGAACTCTCTTGCTTTTTCAATGATCCAGCGGATGTTGGCAATTTGATTTCTGGTTCCTCTGCCTTTTCTAAAAGCAGCTTGAATATCTGGAATTTCACGGTTCACGTATTGCTAAAGCTTTTTAATAAGATTTAAGCAAATCTTTACTGATACTCCAAGGTATATCAACCTTTGCCAGTGACATCTAGGCAGGCATTTTTGCTTTAAATTAATCCAAAACATCAAGTGTTGGGGTTTGGGAGGATTTTTTATTCATTTGCTTGTTAGGTCTTTCTGACATCTCCCTATTTCACCCTTAAATTTATACATACATCTGCAAAGGTATAGCTGTCTGTTTCTTGGCTCTGGTCATTTATTTTAAAAGAAGCCCTACCCTTAAATTGAAACCCCGAGAGTTTATTCTTTGTTAATTCCATTTTGCTATGTCACTTAGGTTTCTCCCATCTCGATGTAATGCTGGTGGAATGCTATGACCCAAAAGGCGACCAGTGGAATATTCTCCAGACACCCATTTTAGAGGGTCGCAGTGGTCCTGGCTGTGCAGTGCTTGATGACAGCATTTACCTGGTGGGAGGCTACAGCTGGAGCATGGTACGTGTCTACATTTACCTTCTCGTCCTCCTTTTTGCTGTGCTTACTTTTCATTTCCCTCCAAATGTGTTACCACGCACACAAATACCTTTTAAGAGTATCACGTTTGTATGCACACAATAAATTACTTTAAGCAGTAAAATGGAATCAGTGTGGTTGGTGTAGAGCTGGCTTGCCATCTGGTCAATTGTATCACAAAATGCGGTAGGTCTCAGCTTCTCTCCCATCCTCATGCTTTCCAGTTAAAAGTCGAGCTGAAGTGCTTTTACAGATGTCTGTTGAATCTGTTTAGGAGAGTCTGAAAAGTTTCTGACAGGCAAAGCATAGAAAATGGAAAATAATGGTTCAGTTATCCACAAATTCTTTTTAGGATTATGTAATTTGCCGTTGCTTTCCACTTTGCCCCACTCTTTACCACGAAAATTTCCAAACATACACAAAAACTGAGAGCTGAGTGGGCCCTCATTAGTGTACCATCCAATTTCGACAACCTATCAGTGCTTTGCAATACTTCCTTTATCTCTCCTCCTTCTAAAAATATTTGGTTTAAGCAATTTGAAGCAAATTCTAGACATATTATTTCAACCTAAATGCTCCAGTATTTCTTTGTAAAAAAAAATCACTTGTTTATATAAGCACACTATCATTATTACACCCAATAAAATCAACAGCAATTCCTTTATATCCTATCCTTTTTCAAGTTTATCCCATTTATCTGGAAAAAAAAATCTGCTTTTCAAATTGACATGTTCAAATTAGGATTCAAAAGGCCTCACTTACATTTTGCTATTGTATCTCATACATCTCCCACAGTCTGGAGAATTACGCCTGCCCCTCGTTCTGTCCCATACCGTTAACTTGTTGAAACAGCAAAGTCAGTTATCTTATAGAATATCCAACATTCTGGTATTGGCTAATGATTTCCTTGTGTTTACATTTAAAAATAGTCTTCTGTCTCCATAGTTCCTATAGACTGTTATTGGTAAGGACCTGAGTTCAGCTTTAAAAAACATTTTTTTAATTTATTTATTTTATTAATACCAAGAACATACAGGAGGGGGGCTATGTAATTCAGATGACATATCAGAAGACACATAAGTCTAAAGGTCTACACAGCCACTTTTGAAATGATGACTGTATTTTCCTATATGTATGTGTTGGTTTTGTAAGATTAATTTGGAGTTTTAATAATATTAATTAACCTCATTTATTTTGCATCCAACAAGATTGTTATTTAAAGTTTTGAAGAGCCTTTAAAAGTTACAGTCTTGTGGAAGTGAACTGTATTGACATATATCACTAGATATTAATCTACGTCCTTATTTGCTGGTGTACATTGCTAGCTGCAAAAGTGTGTATGTTTGGAACCAGAAGATGATTATGTTGGTTGGGATTTTGGTTTTTTTTCCTTGCCTATGGTAAAAAACAAGGCTACTTTGGTTAAGAAAGGGAAATATACAAGCACTGGCCCCTGAGGTTAACAAAGGAAACAATATCAAAGACATTTTTTATTCCTCACATGGCCCCTGGAAAACAAATAGATTAACATGTGAAGAAGTTGACAAACCTTCATTTCCAGTTTATTTTTTTTTCCATTTATTTTTTATTAGTTGGAGGCTAATTACTTTACATCATTGCAGTGGTTTTTGTCATACATTGAAATGAATTAGCCATGGATTTACATGTATTCCCCATCCCGGTCCAGTTTATTTTAAACTGGTTTTGAACCCTCTGTCTCTGATTCTCTATAGTAGTAAGATAAAAAATGGAAAAGTGAGGTGATAATCTAAAATCCAGTTTATTTCAATTATTTGAATGTTTAAGATAATTATTTCTTTTTTAAAACTTAAACAAGGGATAATTTCCAACTTGGGGTAAGTTATCATAGAATATTTAAGATACATTTTCCTTTTTTAAAACTTAAACAAGAAGGATAATTTCCAACGTGGGCTAAGTTATCATAAAGGATTTGTAAACCATCTGGGGCATTATTGTTGCTTGACTTTTACTATCAGCCACATATACACCCAAAACCTTGCTGGCCTCAAATTCTCCCATAGAATACAATAATTTAAAATTCACCACTTTTATTTGGAATTTTTTAGCAAGAGCAGAGAGACAAGACTGTCTTCCCAATGTAGATGTAATAAATAAGGTTGCCATGGCACTTCTCTGAACAGCATTCCCTAAGGCTCTCTGCTCTCCATTCCAGGGAGCCTACAAGTCATCCACAATTTGCTATTGTCCAGAAAAAGGCAGCTGGACAGAACTCGAAGGAGATGTGGCAGAACCACTGGCAGGGCCAGCCTGTGCAACAGTTATCCTGCCCGCCTGCGTACCTTACAACAAATAACAGCAGGAAACCCCGGAACGACGCATTCTAGGAAGCAGTGACAAGTGACATCCTTATTGTAGCCAGAACAATGCATTCTAATGGTACATCTGCCGAAACCCACTTTAGTGTCTGATGATTTACAAGAAGCTTCAAAAGGAAAAGACCTGTTCTTGAACGGAAACTCTGTCTGTAACTCAGATCACATCAAACTTCCTGTGGTGACAGACTCTTCCATTTCAAACTGGTTTTAACTTGTCCCAGCTTTATGAAATCCCCTCATATGGATCTCGACTTTCAACAGGAGAAAGAAAATACAGAAGATTGCCCCCCCGAGAGACCTGAGATCAGTATTGTGCATTGTAGTTTACCTGCATGTGATCTATGTTGAAGTTTTGGGGATATTGTGTTCATGAATGATTCCAAATTTGACCCACCAAAACACTCATACTACATTACAGAAATGGCTACTGATTCTATATTCCTAACCTGTGGCAGCTTCACAGATTCTGTAGGCAACACAGTTATAGAAACTCATATAAGACTGAAGAGAAAGAACTGTTTTTGTTTCATAGAACTTCATTTTATATACCTTCTGCCCCTCACAGCACCTCGTGGGAACAGAGAAGAAAAAGATATTGGGTCTTGTAGCAACTTCTTTCTGCCCTGTCAGTTCCAGGCTAACCAGAGTCATAAATTCTGTGTCCTCAGTTTTATCCAAAAAATTAAAACAAAATGCACTGTTCAGTTAATAGAGGCTCAGGCTTTCTAACTTGGGGTAGCATATAAGTAGTGAACAGGGCCTCCCAGGTGGTGCTAGTGGTAAAGAACCTGCCTGCCAATGCAGGAGACTTAAGAGACATGAGTTCAATCCCTGGATTGGGGTGATCCCCTGGAGGAGGGTATGGCAACCCACTCCAATATTCTTGCCTGGGGAATCCCAAGGACAGAGGAGCCTGGTGGGCTACAGTCCCTGGGGTCACAAAGAACCTAAGGAGCAACCTGTAGCTTCTCAAACAATAGCTCTCCCTCTTCCACACCTTTGGCTCTAGAAAAGACCCTAGATGTGGCTCTAGAAAAGCACCTGATGAACCCTCCTTCCCCTCAACTCATTACATTTCTTTGTTGTCACCAGAGATGCCTGGGCTCAGCGAAGCGAGCCATCACTAGCTGTCTTGAGAAGCATGAGGAATTTAGGAGCAGAAGGTCAGAAAAGGATGAGACAGTATCAGTGTGACCTACAATACAGAAAAACTAGCAGCAATGTGGATTTGATCTTCAAGCTCTTCAGAGCTGCCACAGCAACAATTAGGAATAAATCAAAGCCTAAAATATTTTGTGAATCACCCAGAGATGTTTTCAAATCCCTCAACAAGTATGTCATTCAAAAACAACCACATAGGGAAGCCACCGATTAAAATTGCCCTGGTGACAGTGTTTCACTGTGGAGCATGTCAAGATGGATGGGTGTACTGGAATCCAATGCCATTTCTACAGTAAAGTGCAATCCTTGTTGTTTTTGTATTTATTTGTATGTTCAGATCCAAAGGATCCGTTGTAAAAATATATATATATAAATATATATATCCAGTGGAATCAACTTTTCATTTCTTTTTCCTTGATCGCATATGAATACATAGAAAGAAAGGTTACAGTACTTTGTGATAAAATTCCCAGCCGATGTCATGAAGAATACAAGGTCTCCTTCAAAACCTTTTATTGTCAACAGTCCCCATCTCTTCCCAAAGTCACAGTTTATACAAGGGTATTTGCTTTCCTTGGACTTGTTCTTCATTTATTTTTTATTTCTAGCCAAAATAAATAAAAGCATTTATGAGAACTATAAGTAAAGCTTTCTGTCTTTCAGAAAGGCGTAAACTATTAGAAAGTGAAGAATGAATAAATAAATAAGTCACAGAGAATGTAAATTTTGTACAGTATTAGAATGTGTAAATGAAGCTTGCTTGGAAGGGGAAAACTTTAAATAAAAACTTTATGTACTAATTCAACTGTCTCTCATATTCTGACTTATGAAGCATGTGTATAAATCTACACACTAAGTTGAGGCTTTGTAATTTGTAAATGCATAAATATTTTTATTCTGCAGATACACTTTATCAATTTATTTAGCTTCCTGGCCCTACATACATGTATGTAGTATTAATCCTAAAAATTACAGAATGTTTCAGAAAAAGTGTTGTGAGTTATAAATCATGAACTGAATCTGGTTTTTCCATTGTAAAAATGTTACAATGAGACATACTTATCCAAGATCTAATAGCAGAGTACTTATAGAAATTATTAGAAGCACCTTATGCATGAAACAATACTTGCACACTTTCTAAAGGGTACCCCTTTAGAAACCCTAACACTAAACCCTAACCCTAACCCTAAATGAATCACACATTTAATTAAGTCAACTCTATAAATATACAGTGTTTCATTTTATTTTTAGAAATCTGAGGGAAAAAAAATTTGTTCAGGGCAAGGAAAGGATGGGGCTGTGGAAGACAGTAGGAGAAACTGAGGCATGTGGTTGCAGGTTTGGGCAAACTTCCAGGCAAAAAGCCTGCAAACTAGAAAGTATTTAATCCTTCCCTGGCAAATCTTCCATTATTGATGACTAAACTGGTAATTAAAGGGCCATTTGACTCTCCCCAGTATTCCACAGAAGCAAGAGTAATGGAGTTTCTTTTACCCACTGAATCTTCGGCTCACCATGCTAGTGTAGCATAGCAGAAAAGGCCCTCTTCTCTATAGTAGCCTCCTCTTCTCCTGAGCCAATGGCCAGTTGTTGCAGAACTTCTTTCTAGTACTCTGAAGCCTCAAAAGCTCTAGTGCTGGCCAGTTATCATGATCAATTAAGCAATTATACTTGGCTTTCTCCTAACCCCAGCGTCCACCTACTTTAAATCCATATGCGTGTGTGTTCAGTCATATCGAACTCTTCGCAACCCCATGGACTGTAGTCCACCAGGCTCCTCTGCCCATGGAATTTTCCGGTAAGAATACTAGAGTGGGTTGCCATTTCCTTCTCCTTAAGTCCATGACTAGACTAAAACTGGAAGAGAAAACATAAGAACAAGATTTTTTTTTAATTAATTAGGCTGTGTCTGTGGTCTTAAAATTTGTATCTGTGTTTGTTCTCCCCTGTGAGGGCCAAATTTCTCGTTTCCCAACTGCTTGACATATCACTTAACCAACTCATCACTATCAACATTGTAAGTACCAAGTATTTATTGAGCATATCCTCAAAGGCATCACTGTAAATTCCAGGCTTCTGATTAAACTTGGTTCTCTAAGTCAAAATATTTTTAAATGAACAAGAAAACCAGCTAAAATTGGATTGGTAAAGCATAGCAGAGCCAATTAATACACACTGTGAGTATCTTAATAGACTGAGTTCCCATGGATGAGGCAGAAGGAAGACCATGACTGATCAAGCCTGACTTCCCTAGAAGCACCTGACCTAGAGAATGTTGAAATTTTGGCGGAAAATAAAATGGCAGTGAAAAAAAAGAAGAAAGGTCAATGCAAGGAGAAAATATCCAAATTCTTAGTATGTTTGTTACAATGGTAGAGTGCTACGCTGCCTTGTGCATTAAATACGGGCCTTATATTGGGTTATGTGTGCCTGTGAAGTCACTCAGTTGTGTCCAACTCTTTGTGATGCTATGGACTGTAGCCCACCAGGCTCCTCTGTCCGTGGGATTCTCCAGGCAAGAATACTGGAGTGGGTTGCCATTTCCTTCTCCTGGGGTTCGAAGCCACATCCCTTATGTCTCCTGCATGGGCAGGCAGATTCTTTACCACTAGCACCACTTGAGAAGTCATATATTGGGTTGGGTTTCTTAATAAAGTTTTCCTACATTGGTTGACTCTCAGGTTTGGTGCATAAACAAAATGTTCAGTTCTATCTAGAGATGCAGACTGAGAATGTGCGTCAAGAATACAACACAGTGGGGCAGGACTAAAGAAAAAGTCTTCTACAAATTGAAGCTTGAGTGGCCTGTTCTGTTCTAAGCTGTTGCCTAGCATATATTAAAGACTCAGTAATTGTCAATTCTTAACATTTGCAGGAGTAGCATTACCTTAATGTTTTTAGCTCACTGGTATTGTTAAAAACAAGATAGTTGGAGTGACTTGGCATTTAGGACTGTCTACTCAGGCTCAGAATAATTATATCACTTCAGGTAAAGTGATCCTTGATTGTGACCTCTCCTTCCATTTTTTCACTTATTAAGTTGACTCTTTGTGACCTTCCAAAACCCCTTTGGACAACAGAGTGACATATGAGAAAAGGCAGGGGAAGGGGAACATTTGGCTGCAGGATGAAGTCACCCTACATTTAGAGAGCTGGCAGGCTCCTGACTCCCAATCTAGTCCCTCAAATCTGGGTCATTTGGAAACTGATCAAACTAAATTAGGAAAGTGGAATAAAGGAATAGGATTTAGTTACTGATTCAAAGTTATAGAAACAATATTATAACAACATAACACTTCCACTGACTTCATGTTTGTTATGGATCAGGAATACTACCGGGCATTTCATGTGTTTTCTTATTTACTCCTCTAGACAACTCTATAAAGCAAATGTGAGTCATGTATGAAAAGTAAGGACACACTCTTGGAAGGGATGAACTATCTGATATACAGCTCATAGGCAGCAGAACTAGGATTCAACCCAAGGCTTTAATCTAACCTCCAACCATCATATTCTCCTGCTAACAAAGTTCATTTCTTAGATCAATCATTTGAAGTCGTGTAGGAAATCCTGGTGGACTGGCTGCTTTTTCCATAAGTGACTAAGATGTGCTGGAGGGGAATATGAACAACTAACGATAGTGCATCATGGCAAATGCTATATTGTTGTTGTGAATGAACCCCCGGGAAGAATGAGCAGAAGGAACTTGCTCTGTGAACTTGGGGCATCCTCTAGTTCCTCCAACTTCAGTTTTGTCATCTGTATATAGAGTGATAATCTCATCTTCAGAACATTATTGAACAAATCATATGTAAAGAATGTGAAAACACTTTGCACCTTGTAAACCCTGAAGAAAAATACACAAATCAGCTATTACAATGCAATGACTAAATCCAACTTCTAGCCTGGCAATGATACCTTAAAATCTGGCCTCAGTCTCGCTTGCAAGTCACATTTTTCTTTGCTGTTCTGCTCATTGAGCATTGTGAATCCTTGCTTTTCCACATAAACAGCTATGCTTTTCCATCTTTGCCTTTTTGCTTGTGCAATTTCTCCACAGAGAATGCCATTTCATGCTCAACACAATCTATTAAAATCCTGTCTTTAAAGGTCACGTTCAAACTTCACTGCCTTCATTAAGCCTTCGTGATCACAACAGTCCTATGTGATGGTTTTCATCTGACTTCCCATGGCTCTCTTATTTTCTATACTCCATACTTTTTATAAGATTTTATGTCTTACCCACTTACTAGATTCAGCATTCCTTGAGGGTAGAGATAATAAGCAATATGTCTTTGAAAAAAACCATGAAGTCATGAAATATTTCTCAAATAAAAGTCCTGTGTTTTTAAATGATTAATATAATCAAGTTATGAACATTTGGGGAAATAAGAGGGATGAGAGAAAATTACATTTATACAATGACTTGTCTTTTGGGCTCCAGACTCTTCCCTGTCTTTTTCATTTGCACTTTTGCATTCTGTACAACTGGATTTATATCTTTCTTTAAAGTCTTATTGCATTTGTTGCAATATTGTTTCTGGTTTATGTTTTGGGGCTTTGGCCACGATGCATGTGGGATCTTGGCTCCCTGACTAGGGATCGAACCTACACTCCCTATACTGGAAGGCAAAGTCCTAATCACTG